TCTCTCTCTCTCTCTCTCTCTCTCTCTCTCTCTCTCTCTCTCTCTCTCTCTCTCTCTCTCTCTGTGTGTGTGTTACCACTAAGTTTGGCCAAGCCGGTTACGTGATGCATCCTGGACTGTCTGTAGCTGTTCACCTTCCTTCTGTCTATAATACTGTATGTCCTTGCATATACGCGTGTGCCTGCGTGTGTGTTTGCCTGTTGGGATCCAACATCCATGTCCCCTGACAGTGGACTTTTTCTTTTACTTTCTCTTCCAGCACATAAGACTAGAAAAAGCTGCATAAGCAGAGCAAAGGAAAAAATCAAAAAACAAAAAAATTGATGTGCCTAGCTCAACTATCTGTTGAAAACTTGAAATAGACCCAAGTTTGAATCCGATGCGATCAGATGAGCTGAACGAAATAATTTGGAATTGCATGGTGCCAGCCAATTCAATGGTGATATCTCGTCGTGCACTTTTTTAAACCACCATTACCTTTCCAAGCTGTGGTCCGAGGGTTGGAAAAAACAAAACATTGGGGCCTTGTGGGCCTGATGGGAGGGAAAAAAAAAAAACAAAAAAAAACTGCAGAGTTAAAAGGAAGGACGTCGGGGAAAGCCACGGAGGAGGTGTGCTCACGGTAGTGCCTCCAGGACTGCATCTTTTTCCATAGCGTTTCTTGTTAAACCACCACCACCTTTCAGACTTTAGTCCCAAACAAGTTTGGAATACAACCTATGCCGCATTCTTCGGAGGGCGGTGCACTGGGTGCAGGCTGGGCAATACCAGACCAAAAACGCTGGAGGCGTCAGCCTTCACGAAACAAAAATGCCGCATTGGCGCTTCGGCCTCCGATTGGTGCGCAGTTCCACTCCAACCTATGCGGCGTTCTTTGGAGGCCGCCGCAGGCCAGGTGCTGCCGGACCAAATTGGCCGGTGGAGCCAGCCGAAAAAAAAAAAAAAAAAAAAAAAAAAAAGAACGCCGTACTGGCTCTTCGGCCTCCGATTGGCGTGCAGTTCTACTCCACCTCAGCAAAAACAGGTTTTGAGGTAGTGGTGCTTCAACTGTTTAACATACTGTGTTTCTGTCTCTTTCTTTTCTTTTCTTTTTTGGTTCTTATTTGTCCATAGCCTACTGCCAGACCAAAAAGGCTGGGCGGCGTTAGCCGAAACAAAACAAAAACACCGCGCTGGTGCTTCGGCCTCCGATTGGTATGCGGTTCCACTCTGTATCTGCAAAAAGAGGCTCGGAGAAAGTGGTGCTTAAACATACTTGTCTGTGTTTCTGTTCTGTCTCTTTCTTTCTTTTTTTCTTTCTTTTTTTTTTTCTTTTTTTCTGTTTTTTGGGTTTGGATTTGTCAGAAGCCTTTCTTCTTAACATACTTGCCTGTGTTTCTATCTGTCGTTTTGCCTCAGTCTGGCTTGGTTCCAACGGAGTACACCGCCTTGCCACTCATTCAGCGCTATTCCCCAAGCAAGTCATGTGCTGTACTTCGTTTTGCCCTGCCCTCGAAGGACCATGTCTTGGGCCTTCTCTGTGGGCAGTACTTGGCTGTCAGAGCACAGCCGCGTACGCCGAGCGAGCAGCCCATTGTGCAATTTTACTCGCCTTTGACGCCTGCTGATGAATTCGGCTTTTTCGAAGTGGTCATCAAGCATCACCAGGCAGCTCCCGGCTCAATGCCCGACCGAATGATGTCTCTGCCCATTGGCGGTACTTTGGAATTTGCAGGCCCTCTAGGGGGGTTCACGTATGAGCCGAACATGTACGAGAAAGTAGGGATGATTGCAGGAGGTACAGGGATTGCGCCGATGATGCAGATCATCCGGACGGTCATCAGGCATCCGGCAGATAACACACATCTCTCACTGTTGTATGGCAATGCCGTGGAAGATGAGATCCTCTGCAAAGAGGAGTTGATGTACATTGCCGAAACGAGGGAGAATGTGCGCGTACATATGTTTCTGGAGCAGCCACCTCAGCGATGGACAATGGGAAGGGGGTATATCACGGAGGAAGCAATCAAGGAGCGCATGCCAGCACCAGGCACGAACTCTCGCATCGTTATGTGTGGGCCAGCGACGATGATCAAAGTTATGAAGGAGACGCTGCATCGCCTAGGATATGCTGATCACCAGCTCTACATATTCAACGAAACGGCTATCGAAGACGCGACTGCACAGAGCTAAGCTGAGAGGTCGGCAACGTTGACGGAAGTAAAGGAGGAGGCGCTGCAGCGCTTAGGGTACCGTGATCACCAGATCTACGTATTTGATGGAACGGCTACCGAAGATGCGATCGCACGAAGCGAAGCTGAGGGAGTGGCACTTACCTGTGTAAAAGGCTATGACGGCAAGCGGATGCCGGGAGCGGAGAAGGTGGTTGCTTTTTTTGTGCACTGTTTTGGTGAGTGCATTCGAATCATTTAGTGCAGATCACATGGGATGTAGTTTTGTTAGTCAGCAATAGTGAGCATGAGGGTAGGTTGTGACACGTCGGGAGGTGTCTGGAGTTGGGATGGGGTCTGGGCTAGGGAAGGAGGGGGGTGGGGAAAGAGGAAAAAAAGGGCAACGGGTTGAGCTGGGAAAGAAGGGTAGGATGTATAAGAAACAAGAGAAAGTAGATGCATTGTTCCTGGCTGTTTGGATGTTTGACAGGTTTTCAGCTGAGTCTGTTCGACTAAGAAGCGAATGGAAATGTCCGTGATTTTGAGTGTCGACGAGTTCATCTGTCTGTGTAGAGGCGGAGATTGCCTACTGTGTGGTGGTTTTGTCTATCAGGTATTGTTTTCTCTTTGCCGATTCTGATGTCCGCAAGCGTGTGCAGTTACGTTAACCGTTTGGTATTCTATATGTTACCTTTTGCTTTGATGGCCTACTTCCTGTGGTGATGCGAGCATGAGGATGGTGTTTTGTGGATGATTACTGATATTTTCAGATACAGTATATTATCTGTGTTGTTTTTATGAGGTGGGGTGTTTGCAGGTTCTGCTGAATGGAAATTTTCCATCTCGATTGAAGTGCATGTTGCGGAATGGAAAATTTTCGTCTTGATTGAAGTGCATGTATCCTCTTGTCCTATTACGGTGATACCCTGCTGCATCATCTCAGTTGGCATATCCGTAAACTGTTGAAATGCTGCACCTGAGCTCAAATCCAGATAGAACTAGACAAATGAAATGAATATAAGGTGTAGCCCATTACGGCGTTGCGAATGCAGACCTGAGTTCAAACCCAGATAGAACTAGAAATGAATATGAAGTGTGGCAATACTGCTATAATGACCAAGCATTATATTCGGGTGAAGACGGTAGTGATCGCATACGCTGGTGCTCACTGTGCTGCAGTTGGCACTGACCTGGCCCACATACAACCCTCAGTTGCCACCAGCAGAAGACAAGTTGCAGCTTGTCAGACAACAAGACAGTGGTTTCGAAAAATCGCTTGCATACGTTAGTTCAGGCATCACTTGCTTTCTATCTGAAAACCTGCCGGGAAGATAATCCCCTCCTTGGCACCCTCCGTTGCATTAGTAGTAGTCGTTAATTGTGCGGCAGTTTGTGCCTATATGTCTGAAATTTGAATCAATTAACTTAGGTTCATTGACTTAAGCCAATGAAAAACTGTAGATTCATTGACTAACCAATGAATAACTGTTTTGACGCCAGCTTAGCCTGGACTTAGGCTGTGCCTTCAATGCCTTGCTCCCCGAGAACAAAGTGCCTGACAGGGCAGCTGCAGTCCGCCTGCGAATCCGGGCCGCTGGGGAGTCTTGCCCGGGTGAAAGAGTGCCACAGGCCTGTGGCGTGATATGTCAGACCTATCGAAGTCGGTCGTTTTTTTTTTTTTTTTTTTAATCTTCGTCCCTTTTTTGTTGTATGATCGTACCTAAAATGTTGGACCATTTCTCAATTCACGCGGGTCGTCTTTGCGCAAGGGCCATGCTAATCTTCTCTGTATCGTTCCAACCAATTTTAACGGTTGGAAGTTAGTCTTGAAGTTTAAAAACACAAGTTTTGCAACCGGAAAGGAGGGGAGTGCGGGTGGGTGAGAATGCTTCAAATGCCCGGAAGACACCTCAAATTCAACAAAAAAAAAAGGAAGAAAAAAATAAAGGAAGTGTGATTTGAAGTTTAAACACGGACATGCTAGGTGAGAATGCTTCGAATGGCAGATGTTGGGCAGTGGAAATCCTGGGAAATAGGTGAAGTCCAAAAAGTCCAAATCATCTAATTTCTTACGAGGTAGACTTTTTGGGTTGACCGGCCGTGCAGCACAGCTATGCACCCCGGGCAAGTCGCTGAGAGTCACTTGCGCCGAGCAGGTTTGTTTTTGTTGTTTTGTGGGGTGCCTCGGCGCCCGCCGCCCACCTGGTTCTGTCCAAATCGGCGCTCTGATTTAATCATTTTTGTTGTTTATAAAGCACCCCGTGCAAGTCGCTGAGAGTCACTAGCCGGGTGCCTCTGCGCCTGCCGCCCACCTGGTTCTGTCCGAATCGGCGCTCTGATTTAATCATTTTTGTTGTTTATAAAGCACCCCGTGCAAGTCGCTGAGAGTCACTAGCCNTGCCGCCCACCTGGTTCTGTCCGAATCGGCGCTCTGATTTAATCATTTTTGTTGTTTATAAAGCACCCCGTGCAAGTCGCTGAGAGTCACTAGCCCTGAGCAGGTTTTTTTTTTTTTTTTTTTGTGGGGTGCCTCTGCGCCTGCCGCCCACCTGGTTCTGTTCGAATTGGCGCTCTGATTTAATCATTTTTGTTGTTTATAAAGCACCCCGTGCAAGTCGCTGAGAGTCACTAGCCCTGAGCAGGTTTTTTTTTTTTTTTTTGTGGGGTGCCTCTGCGCCTGCCGCCCACCTGGTTCTGTCCGAATCGGCGCTCTGATTTAATCATTTTTGTTGTTTATAAAGCGCTTTCAGGGGTTTTGCCCAAAACCAGACCCAAAGAAACTCAGAACAGAGTCAAGTCAGTCAACAGACGAAAAACAGGCCCACAACGGACCCAAAACAAACCCAAAACGGACCCAAAACGGACCCAAAACAAACCGAATCGCACTCAAAAGAGGTTAACAGAATCAGAGAGAAGGAAATGGATTTGCAGAGGAGAACAGACTCGAAAGGGACTCGCACAGACTCACACAGAGACTGAAAACAGGCTCAAACAGACTCAAACAATCCTATAACAGACTCGGACTTGAAACTGATTCAGAAGAGAGAGACTTTAGGCCTGCTTACCCGGCTAGAAGAGCCTGAGTCGATCAATTCAGTATGTAAATGGCGGATATAGATTTGAAGTAAATTGTCTGCCTTGGAGCCAAAAGTGCAATGGAAAGCGGAGGCCTCGCTTATTTGACATTGAAGGCCGAAGAATAATTCATATACGACTCATTCTCGGTGGTCTTCTGAAGAGCTGAAGCTGGAGCTTAATCAGCCAGGTGCGAAGCACAAAAAGTCATAATGGGATCTCTCCCCTAAGTCCCAAATTCATGCTGTGAAATGGAAGGCACAAAATCAAGTCCGTTTTGTGTTGTTGTTGTTGTTGTTGTTGTTGTTGTTGTTGTTGTTGTTGTTTTTCGAAAATTTGGACAAGCAGCTCCTTCTATCGGGCCTGTTCCTGGGTGCTCGGGTCTATTGGTCGGGAGCGGCCCCGCCGGAAACCGGATCCAGCGTCCCATTGTACAATACTTGCAACCTCTATCTTGGGGCCATTACATGGTTGCGGCTTTGGACTTCGAAGGGATTTAGTATTCTTTTTTTCAAACTTTGGGAACTTTCATTTGTTTCTTCTTCTTCTTTTTTTTTTTTTTTTTTTTTTTTTCGCTTCATGCATTTTCCTTTTGGCTTACCACCTCTATCCCAGGGCCTGTACCTGGATGCTCCGGTCTGACTTTTTAATAGTTTTTATTACTGTGAGGATTGAGCCCTCAAGTAGGGGCCTTGCCATGTTGTACATGTTCTGGGCTGAGGCCCCAGCAAGCCTAGTGCCTGCCCTAAGTGAAGGCAGGCCAGCAAATCAACAAGAGTCCTCTCGGCCAACATTTCACGAAGTGGGGTCTATACAGTTGCAGCACGCCAGTTGGTTGGAGTGCACCGAGTCTCGGATTTCAGCAAATGCTGAAATGCCCAGGGCCTCTGAGTTAGTTAGGCCCTGGGCACTCGAACGTGAGGCCGACAATGCATGCTGGGTAGAGAGGCCGAAATGCCAAAGGGAAAATCGGTCCACTATCTGAATCTGGCCGCAGGCCTTGAGAAGAGAGGCACAACTGCATTGCTCTGGGGCCCAAGTGTGTCAGGAAGGCTTCAGCCTCTGGGTCCTGGTCGCAGGCTGAAGGGAGGCTGCCCACATGCTGCATTGGCATATAGGCAAGCAGGGCGAGGCAGCAGGGATCTTGGCCAATGCTGGCATATGCGGGCACGCTGCGCAGATGCAAGTGTGCAGCGCTATGCAGAGCAGCGCTGCGGTAAGACAGGGCAGGCCAGCGCTAGGCGGTATGTGGTTCAAGGAGTGGATGATGGAGTACTTTCGACCATACAAGATACTGACCTTCAACGAGGACATGGGCCTGATGGACGTAGGGGTGCGTCACACCCCAGGCGTCTACCCGAGGCGTCTACCCGGCCTAGTGCACTCGACACGAACCAACTTGTCCAACGGTGATGGTTTCTCTTTTTCTTTCTGAAAAGTCGAGCGGAGAGTCGTGATGATCTGTGTAGCTCCAAGCAAGTGGGCATTTTGGTCATTTGCAAAAAGCTGATGGAGATTGGTTCTGTTAACGAGCAGCTATTGTTCCAATCTTTCTTTATTATTAGCTCTCATTCGTTTACACACGCTTTCTTTGATAACGAGTCTCAAGGTATTCAATGTAACGAGACAAGCTGCAAAAAGGACGTAGGCAACAATTGAATAGTAATGGGAATGCTAACCCTGATAAGGGTATGATGATCACAACCCAGTTATTGGTGACTTGTCTGTGGCTGTTCCAAGTCATTGCTGCTCAAACAGGCACTCTCTTTAGCAAGGCAAAAGAGCCGAGGACTTGGCGGCACAGATAATTATTCCTAGGGTTTTTGTTAGACTATGCTACCCAGGGCTTTCAAGTTGCAGCCCTCAGGTTGTTGTCCCTAGGGCTTGGTTCAGGTTGTGGTTCCCGCTGGGGCTTGGTTCAGGTCGTGGTCCTTCCGAGGACTTTGTTCAGGTTATGGTCCCCAGGGCTTCTTGGTTCAGTTTGTGGTCACCGGGGCATGGTTCAGTGTGCGGCCCCCACCACCTCGGCTCAGGTTGTGGTCCCCACCGAGGTTTTGTTCCGGCTATGGTCTACAGGTCTTGGTTCAGGTGTAGACCACAGGCTTGTGTTCTAGTTCAGGCGATGGTCCCCACAAGAGCTTGGTTCAGTGTGGCGGTCCCCATCACGGCTTGGGACAGGTTGTGGTTCCCAGGGTTTGGTTCAGTTTGTGGTCCCTAGGGCTTGGTTCATGTTGTGCTCCTACATGAACCTGCTTCCATAGGCAAGTCTGACCTGGTTTCATTTGTTAAGGGAAGGGTTCGTTTCGGCTATCGTCTACAGGTCTTGCTTCAGGTTGTGGTGGTTTGCCTGCTGACAATTCTCTCTGCAAAATGTGGGCCTTTTGGGCCTTTTGTAGGTCCTACTATGAGAAAAACTTTTCTGGGCCTTCTGTAGGTACTACTCTGAGAAAAACAAGGTCCTCCTGTGTTGCAGTAAGCTGATAATGAGACTATTCGATGGGATGAAACAGTGTTCTTCTGTTATGCCCCTGCTTCATACTCGCTCCAAGGAGCATTAGTCGGGCTCCTATTTCCTGACAAGTCAATCCAAACAACAAGGCCACAAACAGGCACAGTACCCCATTATTGCTAGAACAGCATTGATCAACCACCTACACAGTGACTCTCCTACAGAACATCTAGCCTCCACAATGCCTACTCCTGGAGATGATTGTAAGCTAGTAAACGGGCTCAGGCTGGTGGAGGATGTCCCTTTCTGTTGAAAATGA